GAGAGAGAGAGAGAGACAAACGTGGTCGACTTCTCGACTTCCTCCTCTGATTCTCGTTGAAAGGACACGAAATTTCGATGCGTTTTAATTTCCGAACGAAATGTCTGTTTAATTGTCCAATTGGAGAAAGATTCTTTTAAATCCACCATAATTGACGGGATTATTAAATACTACTTCTTATTAATCAAAATCCCGTGTTAAATTTTCATATTCGCGCGTAAAGAGGCCTTGGAAAATTATATAAATTAAAACGCCTCCCGTTGTATGAATGTAAATCGCATTGGCCGCAAAAGGCCAATATCCGCGTAATCGTAAACGGTTAATATAAATAACGAGGAGTAAAGAAATTAGCCCCGAGATAATATCTGAGGGGCGTCTACGCGCAGCGTGAAATCGACGAAAATTCATGGGACGAGCGGTGCACATCTGACAGGCGCCGTGTTACGATCGATTAAACGAGGCAACGGGGCCCGGACGGAGGAGTTTAACAAACCCGTTGCGTTAATTAATCCCCTCCGATCTCGATTAAAATATTAAGAAACAATGGGACAGACCTTTTTCCCTCGCCCGTTTCTTTTCATCCAGGACGAGTCGTATCGCTTTCGATAAAAGAATATTATTCGCTCGCTGAATTATTTCTGAATTTTTCCACGTAGAAATACCGTGGAGAAAACGTAACTGAATGTGTTGCAATTATACGTGTAGCAAGTTGGATGGAGAGTCGAGTCCAGCAATAAAAATTATCTTAATTATCGAGCACTTCTTAAATATCGAATGTGTGCAAGTAGAGATAAGATAAAAACGAAAGCGAAGAAATAGACGTAACATTTACCGTGGAGTTTAAGCGAATTCTCGAGAATCTATTATATACTTCGCCACTTGAATTACGAAAATGTCGAGCAATGATAGTCGAGCCAGAATTTCGAAAAAATAGTTGTTCGTAGAAATATTCTCTCGCCGTATTTCTACTTGGCGTATCTACATCTACATCTTCAATTTGCCGTTTATAGCACTTGTCTGAAAAGTGACGTTGCATCGTCATCGCGTGTTGTTCCCAGCCGACGGAGAACGAGCAACCGAAATCGTTCGTTAAACGGACAATAACAACTGCTTATTGAAAGTACGATTGTCGAATCACCGATCCTGGATAACGTCCTCTTCCCGTTAATAAAGACTATCCCCTCCCCCCTCGTCCCCGTGCGTACCGTTGCACCGAGGTTCAGACTCAACTCGATAGAGGGAAGGAGAGAGAGAGAAAGAGAGAGAGAAAGAAAGAGATGGAGAGTGGCGCACGAAAGCTGGGAACGTTGCTCGATGCACCACCTGACGCGACGGGGGGGCAGTGGTTCTCGATTCGACTCGGACACCGGAATCGTCGCGGATCACGTTTTTTTATATAGATCGTGAATGATTGGAGATTTATATCGCGAAGATATAAATTTATCGTGCAATTGCAATTCTTGTCGAGAGAGGAAAAAAAAAAAAAAATAGGAGAATAGGTCTTTAAGAGAGGTGTTCGAGGGAGGATGAATGAATTTTTACGAAAGAGATAATTTACAAAGGATGTCGCGAAAATCGGATGCCTCGAAAAGAAAAAGGGTGGCGAAAAAATACGACACGAGCCAGCCAGCCAGCCAGCCAGCCAGCCAGGGATCATCGAATTTGCATAGCGTGAGAGGGCATCGAGGATTATTGGATGAAATTAAATTAAGGGTGGAATGTCTACTTGTCCGTGGTCGGGCTTCCCCGCTGGTGATCGCTCTCTCGAATCACGATTTCACTTAAGGACACGCGAGTCGGTGTCGATCGATAGAGATATATCGGTCCCGGCTAATGATGACTCGGCCGAATTCGAGCGCCTCCCCCTCCCCCCGTTCCAACCAATTTACGAGAGGAGTCACGATTGATTCGGGTACGAGTGTCGATGTGAGCACCTCGAAACGCACCGCGCGGCCCGTGACGAGTGAAAATACAAACAGTTTAACAGGGATGAGTGGTCGTTTAACGTTCCTTGGGATCAGCCGCTCCTTTCTTTTCCTTTTTTTTTTTTTTTTTTTTACTTTTTTTTTTTGCGAATGCACAACGTAGGTGTGGTCGTTGCGAAAAGTGTCGTTGGAGATTGAAAGGGGTTGGGATTGAGAGGGAGGGTGCGTTTTGAATGGAGAGTGGGAAGATTGGATCGTGGAAGATATTTATTGCGTTTATTTATGTGTCGGGGTGATTTCGAGCATTCGGGAAATCGGGAATAAGTGTATCTTTCGACGAAAAATAGTTTGTGCAATTCAAAGATCGTAGATAGGAACTGGACGCTCATCGTCGTAGATATATATATATATATATATAGTATTACTTTAAATCGGAAGATTATGGTTTTTTATGAAAATTAAAAACGATCAAGTTAAAATTGAATAAGCTTACCAAAATTAAAAATTGAATAATATACAAAATTTTTAACGCATTTTTAAATTAAAATTTAAATCTATAAAATTTCAAGAATGTAATTCTACATTTTTATAGATTACCAAAATTATCAAAATTATCAAAAATTCCACGATACACGAATTTTTCAACGTACAAGTTAAAATTTAAATTTGATAGAAATTCTGTAAAATTTCAAACGATATAAAACAAAATTTCTAATGCACAAGTTAAAATTTTCTGCTTACCAGAGATTTAACGATACACGAAATTTTTAATTCACTAGTTCAAAAATTTAAATTCGATAGAGAGGCCTGCGAAAATTCTAAAAATAATAATTTCACTATTACTTACAGATTGTAAAAATTAAAAATTGAACGTAACACAAAATTTGCCAACGGAGAGCCTAACCTAGCCTAACCCAAGTGCAGGCCGGCGAGGAGGGCGCTTCGGTTGCGTAAGTCGGCCCAACCACCCGCGGCCTTGCGTCAGAGAATCAATTATTGGGCCCGTATATCAATCCGATGACCCTGGCGCTCGCCACCCCCCGCTGCTTTTACGCATTTTCTTCCCCTCTTCCTCCCCCTCGTCTCTATCCACCCTTCGAAAAAAGGACGCCCTTTCCAAGACGTCCCTCCTCCTCCTCCTCCTCGAGAGAGAGAGAGAGAGAAACAAAGAGGATAGAAGCGAAAAGAAAAGAGAAAGGAAGAGGAGGAGGGGGGTCGTGCACGATCCCCCCGTGTAGAGCGATCGCGCGCCAAAGACCGGTTCCCTCTTCGCCGTTTCACGAGCGTGGCGCACAGCGCGTAACGTCGATTCCACTGACCGAGCCGACTGACCGATTCTCTTCTTCTCTCCGCAGGGCGCCGACGAGGATGACAGCGCTTCCGTCGCCTCGGTAAGTTCATCTTAAGTGAGGGGGGGGAGAGTTGATCGTCGAGCCAGCTTTCTCTAGTTAATCGCGAATTTGTCTGTTCAGATGTGGTGGTAATAAGAATAATCGCGGGGGAGCAGGGGTGTGTTTTTCGAAACGAAAATTCGAATTTGAAAATTCTTCGACGCGCTTATACGAGGGGGATGAATTGAGATGCGAAAAGGGTAATTTTCGGAATGAGATTCGATCGAATTTGAAAATTCTTAGATAAGATAAATTGAGATGGAGGGTAAAATGAGGTGTTTTTTTTTAACGGGTAAAGAAATAATAAGAAGGGGCGGGCGGGGGGGGGTTAGTTTCGAAATAAAATTCGATCGAATTTCGAAAATTCTTCGTAATTTTCGAAAATTGAGATTTTCTAATAAAATTCGATCGAATTTGAAAATCGATTTACGAGGTTGGATAAATTAAAATACAGGTTAGGATGAGGTATTTTTTTTTTTTTTAACTATTAAAGAAATAATAACGAGGACGTATTTTTCGGAATGAGATTCGATCGAATTTGAAAATTCTTCGAATTAAAAAAAATAATAACGAGAGTATATTTTTCAAAAGGAGATTCGATCGAATTTGAAGCTTTTTATAAAGCGGGTTATTTTTTTAACGATTAAAGAAATAATAAGAAGGGGAAGGTTAATTTCGAAATAAAATTCGATCGAATTTGAAAATTCTTCGACTTATGAAAAAAAAAAAATAATAACGAGAGTATATTTTTCAAAAGGAGATTCGATCGAATTTGAAAATTTTTATGAAACTTTTTACGAAGTGGTTTTTTTAAATTGAGATATTTTTTTAACGATTAAAGAAATAAAAAGTGCAGAGTAATTTTCGAAATGAGATTCGATCGACTTATGAAAGAACTTTTTCAAACTTTTTTTATAAAGTAGAATAAATTGAGTATTTCAAATTTGAAAATTCTTCGACGAACAGGGATAAATTGGAGTATTTTTCTAACGATTAAATAAATAATTTCGAAAAATGATCGACTTGTGAAGCGAAAGAGGCGTTCAACAGGAAAGAAATGTATATACGTGCGCACACTATTTTCGACGGTTGAAGAATTTTCGACCGAAACTCTCCCCTCTCCCCCGATTATTCCACCCCCGATCTCGCGCCAAGTTTCGCCGATAAACGGGCCGGGATCTCCGCGCGGAGATCTTAATTAAAATTCCCCTCCCTCATAATCGGAGCCACGCATCTCATATTCGTACTTGTCCCGCCCGTGTTTGCCCGTTATCGGCCTAGCTGGCTCGATATCGCGAGCCCAACCCCTGTTAATCGAGCCAATTATTGCTTTGGCAAGTAGCAACTGGACGGGAAGTCACGGGAGTGGTTGGTCAGAGCGGCGCAAGGGGATTATCAGGCTTTGGCGAAATTGGCCGCCGAAGAACCTCGCCTCACCCGCCTCAAGGTACGTTCTTTCCAATTTCTCTATCGTGTTATCCGTCCACGATAATCGACCACTTTTCTCCTTCCAAATTATTCGTGGCGTACAGAAAAATTTTGAAAGCCTAGCCTTGTTTTAATCGATCGATACGATACTTTTAATCTACCTGGAAAAACATTGATTCAGAAGAAATCCAACAAGTCGTCCTTGACCAAGAGAGAGAGAATTATCGAACGTTTTTGCTGGATCTGGTTGAATTATCGGGGCGGGTTTGATAATGACAAAGGTGGCTCGGGCATAGCCGAGTACGGAAATATAATTACGGTGTGTGTGGCTTACCGTAGGCCCCGGGATCAGGCGCGTTATTACACGCACGGCGGAACTTAACACCTGCGGCGTTGTAAATTCGCCGTTTTCGCGCCCCGCCATTGACAGGTCAATAAATCCTGGGGGCCCCCGTGGCAATCAGCCGGCCCCTGTTATACCAAACCGCCAATACGTGGACCGGATCACCGCTTGTCGCCCCGTATACCACTCGAACGAGTCCAGGATTACTCCCTCCACCCCTCCCTCCCTCTCTCTCTCTCTCTCTCCTCTCTCCTCTTCTC